AGAGAGAGAGAGAGAGAGAGAGAGGCCTGGCAAGAGTGGTCTGGGGACCCTAGACCCCAGGTCCCTGCCCATACCACCTTGACTGCCTGCTGTCCAGCCACACTGACATTCTTTCTATCCCTGTGGACTGCCAAGCACTCTCCTGCTACAGGCCCTTTGCATATGTCTGAGCCCAGATGTCCTTGCACAGCGGTCTTTGGACATGTTTCCATGTGAATCTGATGAGTACCTGTCTTTCTGGATACTGATGAGGTGTTGTGTGCCAAGTGCTGAACAATCCTGAAAAACTGAATCATCCTCTCATGGAGAAGAAAAAGCCCAGGGAGGAAGAAGTTTGGCACAGAGCCATACAGTGGCTCTGTAAGCACAGGGCCCAGACTCTGGTTCCAGTTCTTGTGACTCAGTGCCAGAAACCATTTCACCTGTGCCACAAGCTTTGTGTCCGTGTTGCTCCAAAGATTAGCCTGATTCTTTGGGAGACCTAGCACTGGGCTCACCTGTGCTGGATACAGCCTTCTCCGCTGTGATTAGCAGAGCCCTTACCTGGAGAGGTGGCCACCCAGGTTCAGCTCTGGGCCTTGGGGCCCTTCCAGCCCTACTGGGCTGTGCACTCTGGGAATGGTGACGGGGATTCCTGGGCCTCCGGGTATGACTGTGTCTCTCGGTTCTGCAATCTTTGGAGCCAGCCACATGCACACCACCTGCACTTGGGAAATCACCCCTGGCCCCAATCACAGAACTGCCAGGAAACAACTGCTCTGGGTCCACATGAAAGGCATTCTTGGACAATGTTTCTCTGCCCTCTCTCATCCCAGCTGCAGAACTTTCCACTGCGAACTGTTGCAGTGATCGCTGCCTCGGATTGGTTTGTGAAGAGAGAGCTGGTTCTCAGTTCTTTATTGCTCCCATGTGTACAGAATCAACTTGATTCTCTGGCAATTTTCCTCTCCACCTCCTTTCAGAATGGAGATAGATGCTCAGAGGAGGGGACACAGCAGACAAAGGGGCCTTGGAGCCCTGGACCTCCCCCTGCACAGCCCCTGCCACCTTCCAGACCCTGTGACAGACAGAGTGGGGAGGGGACTGCGATCCTGGTTGTAAACCTTCCCCTGTGCTGAGTCCCCAGCGAGTCCAGGAAAGTGGCAAGAAAGCAAATGCCCAGGTCTCTTACCCATCCCAGAAACAACAGCCACCTTCATCATCGAGTGCGCTGAGTGTGGGGGTGAGGAGGAAGAGAAAGGCAACACCAGACTGAGGATTTCATGTGCACACAGTGATACATTGTGCTCATGTGTTTGCTCTGAATGGGTTTCTGTCTGCCCTGAGCCACACCACGGGGACAGGGAACTGCCACACATCTCACTTGGAGATTATGTTCCCATAGCCCCAGCTCTGTGGACCAGTGTAGTCCATGCTAGTGGCTCTGTTCCATCTCTGAGATGGTGGCGTGGCTATGCGGCACTTGAAGCATGGCTGGTGCCATCAAAGAGCTGGATTTTTAAGTTTCACTTAGTTTTTTAGTTCCTTTACATGTCAATAGTTGTGTGCAATCAAGCGGCCACCATTCTAGAGCTTTGTGGCTATGTGTGGTTGACAGCAGTGATCTGAGCTCACTGATCCTCCATCAGACTCTGTTCCCCAGATCCTGGTGGCCTTCATGCAGGGAGCATGGAGAAGTGGCTGTGACCACCACCAGGAGCCAAGGGCAAGAGAGAACTGAAAGGAGATGGGGCTGGTGGATGGGAGATGCACCATTCTGGGGAGACAGCCTGTGCCTATCTCATGGCCGCTGTCCGCACCCACTTGGGACAGGCCAACTCCTACCTTGGACCAGGGTGGACAGCTTCTGCCACTGCATCTTCTTTCTAGCCCTGCAGTCCATTGGGAGCATCAGGACAAGTCAGCAGCCAGAAAACAACTAGACCCCTGTGGCAACTGGCTCTACCCTGCAAAGGGCTCTGGGACACAGAGACTCTGTTCACTGCTGCCATTTCCAGGGCAAGCTCAGCAGCAGCAGCTGTCTCCAAATCACGCTAGGATGTTTTTGCTGAGATCCCACAAGCTGGGGCAGCATTCAGGATTTTTTTCTTTCTCTTTTCTCTCTATTTTTTGGGGATACCAGAGATTGAACTCAAGACCTTCACACTGAGCTACATACCAGCACCCCCACTTTTTTTTGTACCAGGTATCAAACTCAGGACCTTGTGCTTGCAAGGCAGGCAGTGGCACCACTGAGCTAAATCCCCAGTCACTCTTTTTATTTTTTAAGACAGGGACTGGCTAAGTCACTAAGTTAGGATTTACAATCCTCTTGCCTCAGCCTCCTAGAGTGCCAGGATCACGGGCACACACCACTATGCCCAGCCAGTTTCATTTTTAAATACACATTAGTGCCTGGTATAATGAAACACATGCTGCGTAATGATGAAATGTAATGTTCAAGCTGAATAACAGAATGTCTCATTTATGGGCAAGTTTACAACTCCCTGTAGGGGAATCAGTTAGTACCAAATCCTTCCCACTTCCCCTGGGCTCTATGTGAACCCAGCTTGTTCCCTGACACCACAGGGGAAAGACAGGGGGAAATGGGGTGAGACCTGGGGCAGGGGGAGGAAGTTGCACACTTCCAGCTTGTGAGTGATGTTCTTCTGAGAGAGGACCAGGGAAGGGGTCACACAGGCCAGGCAGTGTGAGGGGTTGTTGGAGATGGCTGCACTCTACCCCTGAAGAGACTGCAGATGGGTATAACTGTGCCGGGAGGCATCCTCCATACTCACAGACTCATCCTTTCATCCAGCAGACATTCATTGAAGACCTTCTATGCACTGAACACTGTTGCAGAAGCTGGGGATAAAAAGTTATGAAATGATCAGGTTTCTTGACCCCAAGGAGCTGGCATCCCAGTGGGACATGGGCAAGGACACAGCAATCCTGGAAGCTGGAAGGGGTGGAAAGGTGACATGGGTAGAAAGCCTGGCAGGGTCAGAGAGGGCTTCTTTTTTTAAAAGTTTATTTTATTTTATTAGTATGTGTTTGCAATTCATGCAGTTTACAATCATCTTGGGGAGTGGTTACACGAACATATTATAGCTTTTTTCCCCCCAATCCCCCTCGCTCCTCCTCTGGTTCCCCTATCACCATTTTTGTACTTGTTCATATTGTTTGTTTTAGCTCGCGTTATGGCATATAATGTTTACATTGACTGGAAACATATGGAACGCTTCACCAACTTGCGTGTCTTCCTTGCGCAAGGGCCGTGTTAGACTTTTCTTATTATTCTAATTTTAGAATATGTGCTCCCAATGCGAACACAGAGAGGGCTTCATAGAGGGTGGGCAGTGAGCTGAGACCTGAAGGGAAGACATTTCCAGAAGAAGGACCTATGGGGACTCAGAGGCTCGGAGGGAGGAGAAGCCGGGCAGGCTCACCACAAGAAGGCGAGGAATCCGTGTCCCCTCATCTCCATACCCCTAGAAGGGCCACGAACTCAGTGAGCACTAAATGAGTGCATGCTGGTCTAATAAAAGCAAGAATGGACTCCTGCAATCAAAGGGAAGTGTTCCTGGTCCAGAGGCACTTGCATTTCATCTACTTGTGGCACTGGGGATTGAACCCAGGGCCTTTGCCCTGAGCTACATCATCAACCCTTTATTTTTTATTTTGGGTCTTGCTAAGTCATTAAGTTGCCCAGGCTGAGTTCCAATTTGCAATCCTCCTGCCTCAGACTGCCAAAGTACTGGGATTTAGGTATGTGCCACCACACCCCGCTGGCACTTGCATTTTAATAAAGTATAGGCAACCACTTGCTGCAATGCAGAAAAATCATCTAAAACTTGGAAATAAACCCAGAGATTACTGTGTACCCTTTAAAATCTTCTTAGACATTATGTGACATACTATTTACCATTGGTTAGGGCTCAGACTTCGTAAAAATGATGATAACTACACAAAACTGACAAATTGCAAGTGATTTCTACATCCTCAAAAAAGGATAAGGCTGGTGTGTTTGTATACTCCTATAATTCCAGAACTTGGGAGACTGAGGAAGGAGGAATGTAGCTAATCTGGGTAATTTAGCAATTAATAAGACTCTGACTCAAAAGAGAGGATAAAAAAGGAGGAGGAGGAGAAGAAAAACCCAAAACCTATGGTTTGATGGTCCTGTGAAACATTAGTCAGTTTCATGTCTAAGCTAACACTCTCGCGTGAGCCTTCTTACGTCAGCTGTATATACTTGAGCATCCAGTGTCTGACTTTGAACCACCTTCACCATCCTGCTGGCCTCCCTTGATCACAAGTTAAATCCGTGACACATGCTCACTCCACATTTGTATGAGAATCGTGTGTTTTAAATTGTTGACATTTACACTCTGACTCAACATTTGGAACCTATTAGGACCATATGTGGGACACTTAACCCACACTTGGGAACCCAGGCACCCCCTTTGGTGCTCAGGGAGGCGGAGTGTGGCGTGAGGTCCAGGTGCTGTGCTTTTAATAGCAGGAGAGAGTGAGGCAGCCTTGATGTGACTGCTCTTCCCACAGCTGGCAAACCCCCCGCAACACTCCTACAATCTTAGCCATTCTCACCTCAGCCCCCAGGACAAAGTCCCACCCGAGGAGGGAGATGCCGTGCTGGGACAGTGGGAGGGTCATGGAGCTGTCCCTGCTCCTCCTGTGTGTCTTTTTTTGGGGGAGTACCAGGGATCAAACTTGGGTCCTTGTGCTTTTGAGGCAGGCAGTGGAACCACTGAGCTAAATCCCTGGCCCAGAATTTTTTTTTCTTTCCGGGGATCAAACTCTGGTCCTTGGGCTTGCAAGGAAGGAGGTGAAACCTCTGAACTAAATCCCCAGCCCTCCTGGGTCTCTTAAGTGGTAAGGTGCAGTGCTACACCAGGTTCATCATGGTGGATATTTCCACTGTAGCTGCAACAAACACCCACAAACTTAGTGACTTCAAACACGCACACACATTTATTCACTTACTGTTCTGGCATCGGAGTCTGAAATAAATCTTCCAGGGCTAAAATGAAGGTGTCAGCCACCTGTTCCTTCTGCAACTCCAGGAGGAATCTGTCCCTGCCCTGTCCAGATGCAGGTGTCTTCCAGTGTCTTTTGGCCTCTGGCAGTGTCCCCCACCTCCCTGTTTCCACTGCCCAAAGCCTTGGCTGCAGCTCTGTGACTGCTCCCTCTTCCTCCCATGAGGACCCTGTTTCTGCACCAGGCCATCTGGGAGGGTATGTTCTGGGGCAAGGGCACATGGGAGGGTGTCAAGTGGCCCACTGGCCACCATGTCCCCAGTTCCCACTGTCCAGGTCTCATCCCTTCCTGGGAGAAACTCCTACACACCCCATGCTCTTGTCCTTTGCAGGGACCCCCTGTGTTCTCTCCATACAGAGCTTTGCAAACTCTAAAACTGGGGTTTGTGCTGATCACAGCTGGACACAAGGGCCTGGGGAGCACTGAGGGCAGCTCTGGGTGACTCGGGGGTTCACATGACAGGGATGTATTCTTGCCGCCCACCCAGTCACCATGACCTCTCTTCCGTGATCACTTCCGTCTGAGCTATAGCCCCACTCACCATTCTGTTGTTAAGAAGAAATAAACAATCCTATCTGCTATTTATTGTTTCAATGTATAATGAAAGCGGAAGATCACTGCAGATTCATCTCCACGAGGTAATCAGAATCTACAAGGGCCACAAAGGCCTGAGAGGGAGAGGCAGAAAGCTCATGTTCCTCTACCTGACGTGGCCCTGGTTTGTGAGGGAAGGCAGGGACACCGCATGTACTGTAAAAGGCACATCTGTCATGGCCTGTGCTAGCAACAATGGCCTGGCAAGTGTGGTCAGGGCAGGTCATCTGGCAAGCAGAACCCACAGCTAAGCTTCCTTGAGTAGTACACAGCTTCCACGGCTGTACATAGCAGCCTCCATCTCCCAGCACACCCCTCTTCTCCCCTCTGTCTATGAGCTCACTTCACAAGAGCACAGTGGTTACAGTGCTCAGAGCATCACACACACACACACACACCTCACAATCCTGTCAGAATGGTCAAACTGGTATTATTGCCCACTTCAGAGATGAGAAAACTGAGGCTGAAAGACAAAGATCATTGGCCAAGTCACCTCTCCAGTGGGCTGTGGTACTTGATCTAGAAGCATCTTTTCATGGTGTCGCTTAGAGCACGATCACCCTGTGGTAAGGAACAGAGTGTACATCTTCCTGGGCAAGGTTTCCACCTGTTGCCTGCTGTCCATGGCCCAGAGTTGGGGCAATACAGGCGACACTGACAGGCACATTTTTTCCTTTTTTTCTTTATTGGTACATTTTAGGTATACAGTACAGTTACATTCATCATTGGGATCTTGCACCTTTACATGATGCATCTTGGTTCTGATGTTTTCCACATTCCCCTGCCCTCCCTTCACCAGGACATTTTTTATAGCAGCAAAAGCCTGGAACCATCCAGGTGCTCATCAGTGGGGATGAGTGGAATGAAATGCAGCACGTGAGAGGAATCCTGTGCAACCATTAAAAGAAGAGGCAACAGCTGTCCCTCAAGAAGCTGTGACATCAAAAAAAAAGGACAGAAGGAGCTGCAGAACTGTGGACACCAGGCCATGACTTGGGTGGGGAGGAAGGAAGTATGCACATGAATTCTGTGAAGGTTTCAGCTGATCAAGAGCTTTAAGCTGGGGATTTAGCTCAGCGGTTCTGCCACCTGCCTTGCAAGCGCAAGTACCCGAGTTCAATCCCCGGTACCAAAAAACAAAAAAAGAGCTTTAAAAAGGAATCTGTTGGTCCTGTTAGAAAACAGAAATCCTACACGGTTTTTCAGCAAGAGAGAATTTAATTCAGGAAATTGGTTAGCTAAATTAAAGATACAAGAGCTGAGAAGCCAGAGAGGAAAAGCAAAGAATCCAGAGATTCAGTCTGAGGAAGCTGCTGTCTGTCATGACCCAGGAGGACCAAGGACAATGCTGCGGCTGAGGCCAAGGTGTGGAATCACCAGCAACATTGCAGTGTCACTCTGTTCATGCAGGATGCAGGAGGGGAGGTAGGCGGTGACACCAGAGTGAGCACCTGGCACAACACTCATTTGTTCTTCAACCTAGAGTCTCTAGGAGGCCACATGAGAAAGACAAAGAGTGGCTACACATAGGAGTGGGACCAGGTGGGCACAGTGTATGTTAGGACCCTTGGGTGCTTTTACAGTTTGTGTCATCAGCATACACTTCCTGTTGGAAACAAGGTGTTTGTCTGGCATCTGTATTTGGTACACTGACCAGGGCAATGGTGTTATATATACGTACATCCAATGTTACTGGAAAACTTCCTGGGAATAGATGCCAGCAAACTCCCAGCACCCCTGTAATTACCCTCCTCTCCAAAGCCAACACAGCAGTTTGTTCTGTGCTGTGGATTTCACAAGTGCCCTCTTCAAGCCTCCTCAACTGTCAGGGAGGAGGGAGAGCAGCCAAGTGGAGCTGGTGGGGAGGACGAGGGCTCTGGTCCTCCTGCAGCTGGGTGCCCTCATGCCACACCTGTGGCCACTTAGGGCCCTGATGGCAGAAGGCCTGTGCCAGTCCTGAGCAGCACCCACTCCCTGGGTGGCTGTGTTGTGATCCCCCAGACCCCAGAGACAGCACATACTTGCCACCCTAGCCAGAGCCCCGGGTGCCCACAGGACAAGGACACAGAACCATCCAGAAAGAGGGTGGAAGGGGAAGAAGTCAAGAGGACACTGCTTCTCACTGAAAATCGACCTGCTGAATTCTAGGAAAAGAAAGGTGGGACAAAGAAGGCAGACCTGACTTGCTGAGGTCACGCTGCCAGGGAGTGACAGAGGCCAGGTCCATACAAACCTGAGGACAATAGTCTAGCTCTGGCATCAAGCAGGCAAGGACACCTAAGCCACCAGGGATCCCAGAAGCATCAACCTGAGGGGTGCTGCCTTTCTGCAGTCTCCCTTGTCTCAAACCATACTTCGGCTTTCCTTAGAAAGCTCTGAGCCTCAGTTTTCTCAGCTTTAAAATGGAACTTCATTAATATCTAAAACTGTTGGGGGCTCCTACTTGTCGATAACACTAAGCATGAGGCACATGGTGAGTCTCCTTGTTAAGAGCAAGTCCACTTTCCTTCCCTGTGAGCATCTTAATTCCTGCTCCAGTCCTGAAGCTGTGGGGCTCACTGAGGCTCAGAGGAGAGCGCCGACCACTGCACAGCCCATGTTGTCCAGGTCCCGGGCTGGGAACGGACTCTTGACCCCTTCTGTCTGACCCTGGCCTGGTTCTTCTGGTTGCCAGCCCC